ACATTACCAGGACAAGCCTTGGGCTTGGATCAAACCAGAAGGAAAAGAAGAATTTCAAAGGAGAGGCAATTTGGCGACTTGGTCCTATGTAGGAAAGCTGTCTTTGTAGACCTCTTAATCAGTCTTCTTGTCTTTTGATGCATAGAGAGAGGCAACACTTCTCCGTAGACGTTGTTCTGCCCTCATATGGCTAGGTAAGTGAAAAATCAATCTATTGATTCCCTTGAAAGGGCACAGGAAGGCAAGATATGTTCCAGACACAAGATCGTCTTCTTTCTGGCTGAACCGCAGACACCTCAATTCAATCAGTGTAGCTTCTACCTAGTCAGAACTTAACTCAGACATCTTAAAAACCGCTTGGGGTTTACCTAGATGCCCTAAAGCCAATTGGCTACACAAGGAAAGACAGAGGTCTAGTGTTTGTGCCTGTGTGCTTCCTCTCCCCCTCCCCTCCACCCCTCGATCCATCAATCCCTTGGTCCCTCTCTCCCTTTCTCTAGTCTCCCCTTCTTTTCTTTTATTCTGACATGATTTTAGATTTACAGGAAAGTGTAGAGCGTTCTCATGTAGCTCTCACTGTGTCTTCCCAAGTCACATCTCGCATAGCTATGAGATTGTATTGAACCCAGGAAACAGACACCGGTGTGGTGTACGTGTTTAGCTCTGCTCCATTTTATTATGTGTTCCAGTAGCCATCAAAATCAAATTATGGCCCACACCGAAACCTATTAGCGTCCACACCCTACCACTTGGAGTGAAGTACAGGTACTTTTCTCCACTTGAGTCCCTTTGCACGCCCAGACTCACCAACACTTTCTGTGAGCAGTCTCCCGGGCTCCCCTCCTCACACCAAACTCAACTTTAGACATGCTATGCTTTTAGCGATGACTGTCAAACATAATTTAGAAACCCCAAGTAGAAGGAAAGTTGGCTGTGTGCACGCCTATTTTTACTCACTCCGTCATTTTTTTTTCTTCCATCCCAGACATTCTAAGATTCTTTCTTTGTCATTTCCTTTCTTTTTCAAGAGCTCCCCTCTCCCCTATTTGCCATTCTTTTAGGGTGGGGGTGCTGCTAGCAACAAAGGCTCTTGGTTTGCCTCCATCTGAGAAGTCTGGACTGCCCCTCCCCGAGGATAACTTCACAGGATACAGACTTCAGAACTGACGGCCATTTTCTTTCGGCTTCGAAGGCATGCCGTGCCTCTTGGTTCTGGCCTTCCTGATTTCTGATGAATAGGTCACTGTTGTTGGAGCGCATTTTACATTATGGGGGAAGCTACTTCTTTCTCTCTCTGCTTTCAAGATGGATTTTTGGTTTTTCTTTAGTTTTCTGAAGTTCATTGCCTTGTGTCTGGGTCTGGCTTCTTCGGGCTAGCCTCCCCACTTCTTGAGAATGTAGGTGTCACAGTTTTCCCCCAATTGGGACCCTTTCAGCGCCATTGTTCTCTCCAGAGGCAGGACTAGGTCTACTCTCATTGCCCGCCCTGGTCGGAGTGATTCTGTTCACTGGTTTTGGGTGTTGGTTTTTGTTTTTTTTTAATCTCTGTTGCTCAGATTGAATGAAGTCTATTTTTCTGTCTTCGAATTCAGAGGTTCTTCCCTCTGGCCACTCTGTTCTTCTGTTAACCTCATCTACTGTTTCTTTATTTGGTTGTTGTATTTTTCATGTCTAAGATTTTTACTTGGTCCTCCTCTTACACTTCCAGTTTCTTTCTGGCACTTTTTTTTTCCCCTTTGAGCACATTCATAGTCAAATTCTGTCAAAGAATTTTTATGATGGCTGCTTTAAACTACTTGTCAAATAATATGGACTTGTGTGACATCATAGGATCCAAGTCTGTGATTGGTTGGAAGATGGGCAGTGTCTACCAAAGATCTGTGTGTTATTGTCTTACTCCTCAGGGTGGCACCACTGGGAAGTGCTGTGGACCTTTTGGCCACTGCCTTATGGGCATTTCTGAGGTCATTCGGGCGTGGCATAAAGAGGGTAGTGGGGCCTTCATCTGTCTTTCTCTTTTGCTTTCTGGCCAAATGTAACCAGTTTGGTTTTGCACATGCTCTGCCCTCCTGTTGCCTAAACGCCTGCCAGAAGCTCCAAGCACTCAAAGCTGGAGTCTCCAAAACCGTGAGCCAACATAACCTCTGCTCTTTATCTGTTTCCTCCCTCAAGTGTTTCGTTACTGTAATGCAAAGCTGATGACTACCCCTCAATTTTCTTTTACATGGCTCTTTAATGTTCACACCATTGTCAAATATATTTGACTATCCCTTCTTCTAAGGACAAGCATGTTTGAAAATTGCCTCTGGAACCAAGAGTGGATGGCTCACCCCTATAATCCCATCACTTGCACTTTGAAGGCAGAGGCAAGCCGATCTCTGAGTTCAAGACCAGTCTGGTCTATAGCACAAGTCTCAGGACAGCTAGGGCTACAGACCCAGACAGTCTTGAGAGGCAGGTGGCCCTGCCGGTGACTAAAATGCTTCCATGCCCCTCTAGTGTGAAGACACACAAATGTGTTACCACTCTTGGAAGCTACCTGTCTTTCCTTGGCCTAACTTCTAGGCAGTTCTTTTCTCCTTCTTCCTCAAGCCCATTTTCTTAGCCCTGAGGGACAAAAGAGATATGCCTATCTATCCTTTGCTTGCATGAAGGAGAGGGAGTGTTTTTTAAGGAGCGCTAGGTGATTTTTGAAGCCACTGTGGAGGACTTGGCTTATCTTTTTGAAGAGAAGGAAGACTCAGGCCCACAGCAAAGCAGCACTGGCTTCTATTCCTCCCCTCCCTTCCACCCCCCTCTCCCCTCCTCTCCCCTCCTCTCCCCTCCCCCGGAACAAAGAGCTTGCTTCTTCTAAGCTACACAAATGAATAATGCAGTTATATTTGCATATTCTATTACATTAGATTCTCCAAAAATTTACATATAAAATACTTATGTCAGTATCTGGAAAGTAATGAGAGTCATTAAAAGTATTGCTAATGCTACACTCCACGTGATCTTTTCCTACGCGTCTGACTCCGTTCCCAGGTTACAGGAACCGACCTTCTTCTCTCATCCAATTGCAAACCGGTGAAAACTGACATCATAGACAGCCTGGAAGGGAAAAGCAAGTGGTAACAGGGCAGCATGGGGTGTGAAGGGCGAGGACATGGGGGAGGCAGGAAGGCCTTGTCTTCCTCACCCTCTGCCAACAGTCCGCCCTTCTCAGCGCCTGGCAGGCTCCTCCTCCCCAGCTGCCTGTCTGAGTCAGTGCACTGCTGAGGTCCACAACACAGCCACAGAGACACAGAATGAGGAAAAACCTGCCTGGCAGACCCCCGGGAGAGCTGGCCCAGCGGGTATTTGTTGGACACCGGGTTGACCACCATCTGTCGAGGCTGAGGACACAGACAAGGGTAAAGAAGTCAACAAATGGCCTAGTTTGTGTTTAGCCAGAGTCAAGGCCGTTAAGAAGAAAGTCAGGGAGCTGAGCTGTAGGTCTGTCCCTCTCAACACAACGGTGACATTCTATGCCTGTAAAGTGGAAGGTCTGTCTAAAACTGGGAGAAAGAGATAAGCCCTGGTTCTTCTTTCCTCAGCCAAGTGTAAACACGGAGTCAGTCCCAGCACTCCGCAGGCTGAGGCAGGACCATTCAAGCCCATGAGTTCAGCAGCAGGCTGGGGAATATAGCAAGAATCCCTCTGACAAATAAAGATGTCTTCAGAAAGTATGTGATTGAAAGGGTATGTGTTGGTGGTGTTCTTCGGTTATTTTCTACCTTCTCTCAGTGGCCTAGAGTTCACCAAGGAGGCTGAGCTGTCTGGCCATGGAGCCCCAGAGACTGCCTGATCTGTACCTCCTTGGTGATTACAGCACCACACTCACCTTTGTTTGTTTGTTTGGTTTTGTTTGTTTCTTTCTTTGTTTTGTTTTGTTTTTTTGAGACAGGGTTTCTCTGTGGAACAGCTCTGGTTGTCCTGGAACTCCCTTTGGAGACCAGGCTGGCCCTTGAACTCACAGAGAGCTGCCTATCTCTGCCTCCCCATGCTGGGATTAAAGGTGTGCCCCAGCACCAGCTGGGTAACACTCAACTTTTTAAATATGGGTTTGATGAATCCACTTGCCTCCATCTTGGGCTTCAAAGCCATCTTAGAGCAAAGCCAAACTAGATTTGTTCCTGTTTATGATTAAACCTCTGTTTCTCAAGGATTGGACTATGTCCCATCTGTAACATTAACTACAAATAGTTCTACATGGCTTGTTACAGGAAACGGCAACCATGCCTTTGTTTCGGGTTCTTATGACAACCTTGTTATGCTTACACCCTGCTTCTGTAACCCCACTTGCTTGCCTGTCAAAATTCCCTTTGGGAACCCCCTACTCCAGAGCTACAAAAAACTTATTTTTTTTTTTAATATCCATGGCCATTCTCTGAAATCCTCCTTGGAGAGACAGCCACCAGACAGGCTGTGTTCTGCTGTGCACAATTTAAAAAAAAACAGCCGGGCGGTGGTGGCGCACGCCTTTAATCCCAGCACTCGGGAGGCAGAGCCAGGCGGATCTCTTTGAGTTCGAGGCCAGCCTGGACTACCAAGTGAGTTCCAGGAAAGGCGCAAAGCTACACAGAGAAACCCTGTCTCAAAAAACCAAAAAAAAAAAAAAATAAAATAAAAAAAAAAAAATCTTGTTCCAATTTGACTGTTTGGGTTGGTGGTCTTTTATACTTGCCTGGTGGGCTTAATAGGTTCTGAGGACCAGAATAAACTCTTCAAGATTTCAAGATAAGTACTTTACCAACTGAGCCTTCTCCCTAGCCCTTAGATTAAAAAAAAAAAATGAAAAGTTATTAAAGTGGAATCACTAGGAACTTTGATCCCACAGGGCTCTTGCTTTATTCCCAGGCACTGTGTTGCTCACTGAGGGGCTCATCTCTAAGGCACCATCTCAGCCAGCACCCATCAGGCTTCCAAACACATTGCACTCCTATTAAAAAACAAAAAAGAAAAGAAAAAAAAAAAAGCAAGGGTCACAGGAGCTCTTTTATTAACCCTCTGATTGCCCTGAATTACAGCCTTCCCAAATGCTCCTGAACTCAGCAACTCTCTGGCATTATTCACTGTGTTTGCAGGACCAAAGCAGCTTTCTCTATGACTGTGTCAATTGTGGGCGGGAAGACAATACTTTTCCATATGTATTGAGCTCATGTTATCAATTTTTCTGTTTGCTAATTAAATCACATATTCTTTTACAAACTTGTTCAGCATTTCAGAAGCACATCCTTGTTTGCTTTGTGATTTAGAATTACTCCTGTCTGTTACTCACACAGAAAGGTCAAGAATGGGCCTGAAGAATGCCACTGTTGTACCAGGTGGTTGAGGATGCCCTAGAAAAACATCCTGGCCAAACCCTGCAGGCGTTAATAGGAAGTACTCCTCCTGCCTGGTAGCCAAGAGGTGCATGTTAGTGGGGGAAGAACCTTGGGTTCACATAGCCCTTTCATTTACAGGAAGGAAAAGCCCTCATTGTCTGACTTGCCGCAGGATTCAGGCTGAATCAGGCACTGTCTCCTGGACTCCCCCACCATCACCCCCCGGGGTAGGCCACAGAGTTCTGGAAAGAAACTCTCTAAGACCCACCATATCAAGCTTGGAACTGCAGTTTTATAGCTTCTTATTCACCAGGTTTCCTTATTGTTGTTTTCCTTGGGACAGAGGCATTGTGTTCCCATAGGAGAAAGAAAGATCAACCATGTTGATCAAGATTGACGGAAGGTACTCGGCTAGCAGTACAGGGTACATCTGAACACAAGTCTTCATCCACAGTTCTTTTTTCTTTTGTTTCTCTTCTACTTACACTGATTACAAAAGAATGACCTATTTCTAGAGTATGGAACAGCCATGAGGAGAAAGGGAGAAACCCACTGTCACTGGGAAGGAGGCCCTCTGAAAGTGGCTGGTCTGCACCACTTATATTTTCCTGTGCCCATTAAAGAACAAAAATGTGTGAAGATAAAATTGAATTCATACAGAAAGGAGCTGAGGTGCATCGTCCTTCCAATCTTTCTTCTTAGTAAATTTAAAAAAAAAAAAACCCAGCCACTCCAGAGGTTGACACTCTAATATAAGGCTGTTGTCCCTCTATTGGGATTCTGTGACCAGTTCTCATGATAAGTATTCTAGCAGCTAGGAGATACCCTTGCAAGGAACATCATCAACACAAATATTGTCTGTGTCTCTGATTTTCTTTCTGTGGGACAGATTCCTGGAATTCCAACTAGCTAGATGAAACACTCTCAAAGCATTGGCTCATAATAAGAATCATCCCCATTCTTCTTTCATGGAGGCATACTGCCTAACCCCAGGCCCTTGTGGCATATTTTGATGGACCGGGAATGGAAAGACGCTTCCTGTTCACCCACAAGTTCCCAAGCAAGCTCTTTCGTGAAGGCTGAAATCCTCTCCACTCTTGCTTAGCTTCTGATCACAGGTGAGAAAGCACAGAAGCTTCCGTTGCCTGCCTTAGGAAATAGACCACTATTAGGAGGTGCAAAACCCCTAACTCCGGGATTTTCCTCAACTTAGAAACCCCTCACTGCACCAGCCCAAGTGATAGGAAGTTTGGGTTCTGGTGTGCGAAGCAGTTGTGGATGCAGAAAGGTCAGAGGCTGTGAGAGGGGAGAGTCTGAAGCAGGGGTCTTAATGCTCAAGACTCAGCCCCCTCCACCCTGTTATGGGAAGAGGCGCCAAAGGTGTCCTCCTGTGGAAGGAAGACAAGAGTGGTCGACAGGGCCCAACACCCGCTCAACTGGCGGCCTCATAATTCTGCCTTTTTTTTTTTTTTGGTTTTTCAAGACAGGGTTTCTCTGTGTAGCTTTGCGCCTTTCCTGGAACTCACTTGGTAGCCCAGGCTGGCCTCGAACTCACAGAGATCCGCCTGCCTCTGCCTCCCGAGTGCTGGGATTAAAGGCGTGCGCCACCACCGCCCGGCATAATTCTGCCTTTTAAAGCCAGGTGATGGTTCAAGAGCCTACAGGTTTCTGACTCACAAAGCCTCTAACTATTACAAATCCAGTTCACTGGGGGTTACCCGTGCCAGCCAGCTAGTTTGGGAATTTCCCAGAGTCTTGGAGAATCGTCCCATGCAGAACTACCACTTCCCCTGTTACTTGGTGTGAAGCCCGGGGTGTGGGGTGACCCAGCCCTGTCCAGTCATCGTAATCACGTGGGCTTCATCAAAAGCAGTTGTGCGAAGGCCCACGCACGAGAAGAAGATTCGTAAAATCCAGGGAATCCAAGTGGTAATGGGGCCCTCGCGTGTTACAGTCTGTTCATTACGGGAAACACAATGGGGCCTGTGAGGGAGCCCTCCCTCAGAGCTGGCCTGTGGGTCCCTCCATCCATTATCTTGGCACCTCATTTCCAGTTCCAGTGGCTGCCACCTGTCCTGTTTTGGCCTCTGGTGGATGGCATTTTCTGGTTTAAAAGACAGGAAGAAAAAGACTCAGGTTAAGCTTTCTGCTTGGCTTGACTGGTACCTACTCCCATCTGCCAACAGGACCACTACCTGCCAGGGTTGATTTTGTTTGTTGGCTTGTTTGTTTTAGCTTTTGAGGTTTTTTTTTTTGGGGGGGGGGCGGTTGGTAATGTTATTTTGTTGTTGTTGTTGTTTTTAATTTTCAAAAAAGTTCTTAGCAGGCCTGGTACTGACCTGTACACTTGTGATACCCATTCCTTCCAGGCAAGCCATATTCACACACAAGCACTTACCACATCGCTCCTTCTCCATTCAGCTCCGGATGCTGTCAGTTTACCAAGGCTATTCTCGCTGGGTACCCACGCCTACCTAGCTAATCCTCATACTACCATCCCACCTCTGTGAGATATCCTTTCATTAAAGTCACCAGGTTAGACCCATCTGAATTCAACTGCTACCTCTCAGGCCCCTGACTGACAGATGCTTTCAGCCCCAACCCCCTCACCTGTAAAACAGGGATGACTAATGACAAAGCTTCAGAGTAACACACCATGGAATGCTCGTGAAGACGAAAGCGGTTCAGACAAGCATTTGGCGTACTGCTTAGAGGCGCAAAGTAAACTGTGTGATCTGTCGTTGATACTCACAATAATGAGCAGCAACAAAGGGGTTAAAAATCCAGGTCTGTTTGTTTATAAAAAGGCATGCATTTCCCACCAGCCTGAACTTTCTTCTTTCGGCTAGGGGAAGGAAAGATCAGACATCTCCTAGCCCGTCTTGGAAATATCATATTTAGACTGTCACGGGAATTAAATCATTCCTCAACAGATTTGTCAGTGAAGTGGGAGCTCGCCAGGAGAACAAAGTGTGCTGCTGCCTTTCAGCTTCGCCACGCCAGACACGATTCTGTGTCTTTCACCCACCAGGGACTTTCTAGAACATCATCTGCTAAGGCAGCCAATGAGGATTAACTATAAATCATTGTAATGGCTGTTGGAATGACAGGTGTCTGTCACAAGTCCATTATCAGAAGCCAAATGTTCATTAGGCAACCAGTGCAACCTTCACAGCTCTCTGGAGCCTTGTGACCACTGCTTGCGTGGCCAGCATCTGCCAGAGCTCACAGAGGCGACGCTTGTGGACAAGGAGTCCTCCAAACAGCCGGAAAATGTGTTTCCCAGACAGCAAGTCTCCACAGTCATGGCGACACAAATAACGCATTGTGCATGTATCAGAGGACGAGCTGAGGGAGGAGGTGGAGAAAGCTGGGGGACATGAAGAGGATTTGGCTGACTCCAGAAATGAATGCTGTTTCGGAGTGCATCCGGCCCCGAAATCCTCTCCACCCACCTTCCTAGACATATTTCCTACAGTTATCTCCTCCCCTCCCTGTGCTTCAGAATGCAGTGAATTAAAGAGGCAGTAGATTCTTATTAACTTGGGAGGAAGGGTTCCATCATCGAAATAATTAAAGAGGAATCAGGGAATGGTCAAGCACAGGAACCTGGCGTTAGGTACAGGGCGGCAAGATTTAAGGCGAAACGTAATGAGCTTTGACACAGACAAACCTGCTTCAAATCCTGGCTCCGCCTCTTTGCTACCTGTGAGCCTTCTTTGCGTCTCTTCCTATTTAAAATGAGGGTAAAGCTATGTCTTATAAAGGTCACCTTGAGAATCAAGTCAAACAGGGAAAAAAAATCACCTAGCACAGACATAATCTACATTTCATAAACAATAGCTGTTGTTACCACTGGCATCTAAGTGCACAATTCAAGCAGAGCTTGCACCTGGATAGACTCCCCAGAGAAATTGATCCCATTGTACCAACTGAATCACAAGACCAGGGGCCCGGTCCAATGTTGTTAATGATTTGTTATGTGGTCCTGGGCAAGTCCTAGCATTTTCAAAGCTAATGGGGACCCTTGAGCTATTTTTGAAGTCTTGGAAGTCCAGCAGGAGAATCTAATTATTGAAACTGAGGCTGTATAATCTCTGCCTCTGTTGGAAGGAATTATCTCATCATCTCATGATGCTCTGAGCTTTTCAGTTTTGATCCAATGTTCTAATTGGCAGTTACATATGAATTTAATGAGCAAAACAGGAAAAAAAATCAATGAATTATGATGAAAATGTTAAAGGTTTTAATAGAATGACATTACAAAATGTATAAAAGAAATTTGAAATGCAGATCTGTGATGGTGGATAGTCCAGAAACCATTTCCCAAAATATTTTTTGGTGCTACCATATTGCATTTCTAGAATTCTGCAAAAAGACCCCATCCTCTAGAATTTTCTTCCTTGGGAGGAGATTGAAATGTACTTCAATTCCCCTTCCCTTGCTTCTACCCACTATACGTATGTATGCTTTTCTGGTCACATGACACTGGCTGGCCACAAGCCTTTATACATAAGCCTCTTTCAACTCATCGATCTTCTACACATGAACAAGATATTAAATATTAATCTGTTCTCTCTCTCAAGAAAAAAAAAATGACCACTCACATGCACTGAGTCAGGTACTGTTTTAGATTGTCAGAAGACAGGAGTGAGCGAAGCAGGCATATTCCCTCATGGAGTTTGCATTCTAGTCGGGGAAGAAGGACAATAAATCCAATTATCAAATGTCTAGCAGTTGTGGTATACGATGTTAGTTGAGAGTGCTGCTAAAGAAAAGAAGCCTGGCTAGATGACAGGGGTGACATGTCAGAGAAGGCCACAGTGAAAAGTTGAAAACAATACACACTTGAGGACCAGAGGCTGGGATAGCTGATACCTGGGATAGAGTGATGGAAGTCAAGTCAGAGGTGAACATGAACTTGGCCATCCACACCATTAGCCACTGACCTAGAGAGGAGCATTTTATACTGCTGGTACCTGTTTGCTCCTGAATTGAAATGTGTCCTTCTAGCGGGGAGAAGGAGGCTTATAAGACTGGGGTAACATGAAACTTACAAGGCTGGAGAAGCACCTGAAATGTACAAGATTCCTGAGGACCCTCCCCAAGGTTACAGAAGAAGTACAGTTGTTGAGGGCAGAGGCTTTCACCAGACCAGCCAAGCCGTGTACAAGCTCCACAGGGAGCTCCAGGGATGCACCTTGCCTAAGTCGCCACCCATGCTGGGTGGGGCCTTTGGGTGATACAGCTGTCTTTGAGTCACCCATGAGCCTCTAAATTCTCACCCATGCTCTGTAAGTAACCCCGATAAACTCACTGGTTCAGCCAGCTGGACTTGAATGGAATCATTGCTTTTGTCCGTCATCTGTGCCCTCTCTGAAGTGAATAGGCATTTGTTCACGTCTTCCCAGGAAGTCCTGATGAGAAAGGGTACAGATCTCCTAGGACCCTGAGGGTGCTGTAGTCGGGACTGTGGAAACCACTGGAAGTGGAAAAGGAAAGAAAACTATACAAAGATGTCATCCTCAGCAAGCGTGGGGTAGAGACACAAGGAGCTTTCACAACCTGAATTATCCTGAAGACTTAGGACCGCAGCAGTTTGAATCGCAAGGTCTACTGCCTCCATGTCCCTGGACGCAAGTGAACTTTATTCTCTAAACAGCAGAAGTCCTCACCCTGCTGCTAAGCCCAGCTCTGCTCTCTGATGCTGGTAACAACACAAGGTAATTGACGCAGAGGTTAAAACGGTGGCAACAAGAATTACAAGCAAATTATAAAACCCTTAGCTAAATTACATGGATTCTTAAACTAAGCTCACATCTGTGTCTCAAGTCTGGGTGTATCTTGTGAACACCCAGCATTTGTGTGTTTGCTGGGAGCAATGCTCTGTCTCCCTCCCTCTTCCCTCCCCCTCCCCCTCCCTTTCTCCTTCTCTCTTTCTGAGTAGTGAAGGAGGATCCATCCATTTCTGAGCGAAGTCTCCTTTTTAAATGCCTCCCTGCTAAGAATAAAAGAGAGTGTTATTCTCTCAGCCTAAAATGACTGTCATTCAAGTATGTAAAAAGAATCCCAATCTAAATTCCTGGTTAAAAAAAAAAAAAGAGGTAAAAAGCCCAGATAAAATATAATAAAATATGTATTTACATCAAGGTCTAGGGTTACAGTCTGAAGTGGCCTGCTGAGAGAAGAAACCCCCTCAGTTACTCCATCAACAAACAAACAAGCCCTTCTGTTTTGGGTTATGCAGCACGCATCTTCATATATCCAGGCTCGTTTTTAACACGTGGCGCTCTCTGTACCAGTTAAGCTACTGAAATTCAAATCCCACATTTGAGTAAAATGAGCATCTTGCATTACACTCTACCATATGACTTTGGGTCCTGCCTATCACCTCGAGCAGGGGACTTGGGAAGAAGCGATAAGCCAGCGAGTCCTTCAAGTCAAACCACGAAGACTTTTCTAGACAGATTACATCAAGTTCTCCTCAGAATTCTTTTACACCAATGTGACTGCGGATCGTGTTCAATGTTTTAAGAGTCAATATAAGAAACAGCAATAATTATGGCAAACTGTTCCTGTACCCACTGTTACGGTTTAGATCTGAATAATTCTCAACGGTTATGAACGCTGGCTCCCCAGCTAGCAGTGCTACCTGGGAAGGCTGTGAAGCCGTCAGGAGGCGGAACCTAGGCTGCAGAAGTAAGTCACTAGGAGCAGGCACTGGGGGTCTGTTATCACAAGATGTTTCCAGTCAGGCTCTGCCTCCTGGTCTTGGTGATCGGAGCAGCCTCTGCCAGACACTCCCCATCATGAGCTGAGTGGCTGCCCCATGCCTGCCCTGTCATGATGGAATGAAACTGTGCACCAAAATAAAGCTTTCCTCTCTGGAGTCGTCGCTCACAGACATTGTGGTCACAGCAACGCAAAAATAACTGATGCAACTATCATATCATAGCGCATCCAACAGCTTCCTCTCGGTACTTAACGCACCCTCTCCTTGAAAAATAGAAGTTTTCAAAATGAATCGTCGTGAATTCAGCATTTCTTATGTAGTTTTTGTTGTAGTTCTGCTTTTGTTTTTTCTCTTCTTTCCTTTTAGCTTTGACAGACAAAGAAGTCAGAGACGCTTTGCGTTAAGACAGTGGTATCCCCCAGTCTCAGTTTCTGGTATGATTATCCCTCAGATATACCACTAGACCCCACCCTGTGTAGATCTTCTCTGGGGTTTTCATTTGCATGTAAGCATCGATCAGATACATTGAGTCTTTATTTTGAAAGTGTTCACTAAGTAGCGAATATTAAATAAGCCTTTGAGCTCTTGGGCAAAAGGGAGGCCAGAGACATGTTTTCTTATTCATTTGGCAGCCACTGAGCTCCTCTGTGCAGGCCCTGGCTGGGCTGGAAGGAAGGACAATTGGGTTGTATTGTAAATTCCTTCTTTCTTTTGACTGCACACAGACTAAAGGCCTCTAAATATCTTCTCCATCCCAGTGTTTCCATTTGAAAACAATAGAGCTTGACTTTTAAATTGTTCTTGCATCCACAGAACAGCCTTAAAGGATCTTGTCTTGGAGCATGTATTGCCAGGCACTTACATCTCCACTCTGCCTCAGAGAAACCATGCTGCATTTTTATTAGCGACATTAAAAAAAAATGTTCAAATTTATGGTATTGAGCTTGTCATCTTAAAATAGGATGCCAGGGAGTTGTTGTGTCTGAAGATTCTGGAAGCAGGTTTGACCACGGCCTCTGTAAACTCAGATACTGTCTGCAAACTCTCCTGGATAAACCATGGTCCTGTCTACAATACTAGACCCAAGGAAATCCTTTAACAATTTCCGCAGCACTAATTGATTTTCAATACATGAGTAGCCAACCCGCATATCCCTTAAAGGAGAAAAACAGCCTAGAGATACTGCCAGGCCGTGGGACAGACAGTGGCCTCAGGGTCTCCGTTCCCTTTGGCTTTTTTTTCTGGTGCACACAGCCTTGCAGCACCTAGCAACCCACTTCTCTTTTCCTACTTCAACATCCAATTCATACTAGATTCAAACTCTTTGGCCAAACTCTCCTTTTACGTAACTGGACTCCCTTGGAAGGATCTGCCCCAGCATCCAAACACAGAGTATCACTGGGTCATTGGGCAACGCTCTCAGGAGGCGGGGTGAGCTTCGGAGAACAGCTGTGTGCCTGTGTTCCACTCCCACACGGTAGTACACTCATACCTGGGTTTGCCCTGGACAATGACTGTGACGTCCCAAAGCCCGGTGTTCTCAACTCTATCACGTGGATGATTTAGAGGCAATGTTATTAAATTACCTTCTAATTAATTGGCTCTCAGTGTTACCAAGCCAGATTGCTAGAGGCTGAGTCCCTTGATTGTATGATTTAGTTATTGCCCAGTCTAACTCTAAGGAATTACAATCATCTGCAAAATCAATGTGGGAAGGCTGGGACCAGCACTTAACCATTTCTAGTCCAGGCTTGTGTTTATGTTATAGGTTAAAGGTGAAATTGCATGAAGGCAAACTAGAAAATCTTTACAGTATCTGTCTTCTAAGAGTTGCCAGTGCTCTTTATATAGAAGACATTCACTAAATATTGTCTGACTGGAAATGATTTTCAGTCTGTGCATTCAAGTATATAGAGAGGACCCAGAAAGCCCAATATCCCTCCCACTAAATCCACTTGAATTCATCCTCAGGTCTGGGTTTGTCCCAGGTCTTACCCAGCCCAAGCCTTGACTGAGGAAACAAACCATCTATGGATCGAGACAGCATTTGCTTCGGACATTCTTCATGCTCGTCCGACTCTTCTAACTTTCTCAGAAGTCTCCATTGGCTGTGGGGCAACTCTTGGTTCACATCAGCTCACCCCCTGCCTCATCCAGTATCACCTTTCCTTAGTTAATTTCCTCTCATCTCAGAGAAGAATTCCATTGGAAAGCCATTTCATCCTGAGCTCCTGTCTCCTCGCCTCTGCCAAGGCCTCGTTCAGCTGTCTCCTCTCTCTGACCTTCAGAACTTACGTTTGCTCTTCCCTACCAGCCGATACTGTTGATTTTTTTTTTTTTCTGTCCTCTTCCGGAAATAAATTCAGCTCCTTGATTCGGCTCCCCCTTCCAACCACAGCTCGCTCTGTCCTTCCCATGACGAAGCTCGCCACCTCCTCTTCTCACTCCCTTCTCTCCTCTACACATTGCCATCTGCCATCTGCCTGCAGCTCTCCAGAACACCAGCTCTCGTAAAGGTTACCAGCAGCCTCCCTGCCACCCCACCCACGGGTGTATTTTTAATTCGTAGTCTTCTGCTGTACACAGCCTCGCTGCCTGTGCCCCCACGGTCACCTTTCACTCCAACCCTCTCTGGCGTCCTGGCTTTTTTCTCAACCCTTCCTCTGTCACTCAGGTGTGCCCTGCCTCCTCTCCAAATGTGCTTTCCATCCCTGCTCCCGTTCCTTTCCCTTTTGCTTGCTTTCCTGGAGTCGGTGTGTCTCAAGGCTCAGACACTGTCTTTGTCATCTGACGTACTTCAATTACATATTCTGCTTTCTACTCTGAACTATTCAACCTTTAGGAAAGTCACTCCATCTTTCCAAACTTCTGCTCTCCTTTCTATAAAATCAAGGCAAATGATATTGAGAGTATCGATAAAGATCACTCTTTCAGAGTTGTCAATCCAAGCCTGCACAGGGTCAGATCAATAGCCCGGAACTGATACGGAGTAAGATCAACCACATGACAGCTATTACTGCCTTCTTATTGTCTTTCACTGTGACCTGAGGTTTACCTCATCTTCCCTCCTGACTCCAGCGCACATGTTTGCTTCCTGATGCTGAGCTACCCACCTCTAGTCCTGACCTCTCCTCTGTGCTCCCTCCAATGACATCTTCTCTGCTATGTCCACAGGACCTCAACCCCCACATGTCTTATTGTAGTCTGAACTGCCGTTCCCCATTCCGTCCATAGGTCAAAGCCTCATCTCAGAAGGGAGCTATATTTGGAGATAGGGCCCTAATCAAGCTGACTGATGGCCTGGAGAGGAAGTGAGGCCCAGGGTGACATAGGCAGTGTGTGCACACTATGGAAACGTCACACAAGGGGAAAGCAAGTAGGCTGCCACTCGCAAGCCATGAGCAGAGAGAGGCCTTAGAAAAAAAACAGCTTCACTCAGCACCTTGATCTTGAACTTGGAACCTCTAGAACAGTAATCAAATAATCTTCTGTCGATTGAGCTGCACAGAAAGTGATATTCTGCTATGGTAGTCCGGGCAAACTATTACACACCCCAAGCTGTGTAGCAGGCTTTCTCAGACCACCAGTCCCCAAATCATGATATTATTAGTTATGAATGTTTGGCCGTAGTTTAGGCTTGTTTCTGGCTATCTTTTTTTTTTTTTTCAACTTAAATTAACCTGTTTCTTTTCATCTACATTTTGCCTTGGGGCTTTTTACCTTTCTTTCATTCTATATGTCCTGCTTTCTTGCTTCCTCTCTGTCTGGCGGCTGCCTGGATGGCTGGCCCCAAGTGTCTCCCCCTCTTTCTCCCTCATTCTCTCTCTCCTCCCCCTCGTCTACATTCCTTCTCCTACTTATTCTCTCTGCCTGTCAGCCCTGCCTATCCTTCTCCTGCCTAGCTATTGGCTGTTCAGCATTTTATTAGACTAATCAGGTGCCTTAGGCAGGCAAGGTGAAACAAATGTAACACATCTTTTCATAGTTAAATAAATGCAGCATGAACAAATGCACCACACCTTTACACAGCTAAAGTAACATTCTGCACCATAAACAAACGTAACACATCTTTCCATAGTTATTGCGATATACCACAACAAAGCTGACATCACTGCATCTTCTGTTAAACATGAGCCCTTTGTTTCGATGGATCCACGACTCTTCATTCTCTCTCAAAGTCCACAGCTAGCCCGTCTCCAAGACCTGCTGGCATTGATTTCGGAAGAGCTCACAGCCTGTGTGTCACCCTCGTTAGCTCAGGACTCTAACATCTTTCATCTGGTCCATTTACAACAGCCTCCCGGCCTGATGTGTCTCTCTCACGGCCACATTTCTCCACTGGAGTCCACCCAGTACACAGCAGCTGGATCAATCACTCCAAAACACAGGCACATCTGCAGGTGCCCTCAGCTGGTCCTTCATTGGCTCCCCACTGTCACTCACTCAGACAGACGCTGAAACTAGTCACAAGCTTACCCATCTGTCTTGGATCCGCTATTAGCTTCCCTAGACTTCTTTTGAACCAAACAAGAACGCTTCCTGCCCATGGGAAGAGGCTCCTCCTCTGTGATGATGACTCTCATCTAAAATGGCTCCTCTTCTTGTTGCCACTCAACATCACGAAGCACCTTCTTCCCCTAATTCCTACAAGAGAAGGTCTTTGCATTGAGCGGAGACCTTCTGACAGTTTCAGGACAGACTGATGTGCCATATGTGTGTCTTCCTCTCTCTCTTCGGCTGTAGACCCACAGAGGGCCAGCGCCCAGCACAGCCTAGGCACATACAGTCCGTCCTCAGCCTTGACTGAATGGGTAGCAAGGCCACCAAGGCAAGTGGCCCTGATAGTCTTAAGCCTTTTTTCACAAAGAGTTATGAAGCAAAATGAATCACAAGTCTCTATTTATTCTGGAACTTAAGCTCTAGAAATGAGATAAGTAAACTTTTTTGAAATATGAAATGGCAGTCAAGAGGCAGAGTACCAGGGGTGTTGTCATTAATATCCAGCCACCATGATCTGCTCCTTCTAATAGTTTCACCTCTGTTGATTACGCCTGAAGAGTGACCAGCTTACAGGAAGCACCTGAGCGGTCTTAGCCGGCCTCCACATCCTCCCAGGCGATCCCCAGCCCAGTCTTGCTTTTTCTCTTCCTTGTCAACATCCATGGCAGGTTACAAATGATGTGGAGCCAGCTCAGGGATGTGCACTGTGGGATCTGTTCTGATTGCTCACTTCTGACAGCCCCTTCTCAGACCTCTAACATCAGAGCACTCTGCTTTCTAAAAGGTATTCGCCTACTGGGCTGGTATGTCTGGGTTCCCTTTCTGCTGTTCAGTGTGCACCAATTATCAAGGATCAAAATGGACACAATTCTTTGGGCTACTTGTATGGTTTTCATACAAGTTGATGAAGTGTGCATCCCCCATGCTGTACCAGCCAGGTATTACATCCTCAGGCACAACAGGACTGCTCAGAGGTAATCATACCTTGGCTATAACACTACATGTTATAACTTGCTACATTCATTCTAGGAAAGGAGATTCTGACAAGGTAGTCATTAATTTACTCGTCTATTTTGGCAGAGACATGATTCTACCTCTATTAAAACAAGAAGATGAACTTGTCCAAATGAAGCCTTAAAACAAACAGCAGAAACACCTAAGACCCAAAGAGGTAAGATCATATACCTGTTGGTTAGACACAGCCACCCGCCCCGTGGGAATCATTTTCCTTGTGTGCAAAGCGGCATAGCAACTGCTCTTCTCACCTACTCTTATTTTTTAGCTCAATAAATGGATGGCACATTAGCAAGTGCTAAATATCACTTACTTTACATGTGTTTTTGTATATAACATTTCCACACATTCTTGCCTACACGTAAGAGTTCCTTGTCACTAAATTACCCTGTGCCATTTGCTTGGTCCCTACTATCACCACCAAAACTCTGCATAGTAGCAATGAATGTGAATGTGATGAGTCTTACCATGTGCCTTTATCATTGCAGGATGCAATATACACTCACTGGATTGGCTCATCTCATACTAATGTAACTCTCATTATGCAGTAGCCAGATCCACGCTCTTCAGTTCTGTAGCCTTTCTATATAGTTTGCTGAATACAACAAACCAACCAGCAGAAGGTCTAATGTAATGGGGGAAGTGTATGTTATTTGTAAACTATGTGGCTGTATTAGTCAACGTTCTATTGAAGAGACACCATGACCACAGCAACTCCTATAAAAGAAATAATTTAATTAGGGCTGACTTAGAGTTTTGGAGGTTTAGTCCACTATGATCACAGCAGGAAGCATGGTGGCATGCAGGCAGACATGGTAACGGAGGGGTAGCTGAGAGTCCTACACCCAGGTCCACAAGAGGCAGCAACAAGAGAAGAGTCACTGCGACTGGCTTGGCTTCTGAAACCCCAAAGACACCCCCAGTGACACACTTCCTCCAGCAAGGCCACAACAAGGCCACAATCCCTCTCAAATCAGGCCACTCCCTGATGACCAAGCATTCTGTGAGCCTATGGGGCCATTCTTATTCAAACCACCACAGCGGCTCACCTATAGCTTTTCTTCTACCCTCTAACAGCTTTCTTGGCTATTTTTATCAGTCAATCTTAAGTTAGGAGGTGGAAATCCTTGATGGCACCAGATTTTCATCAAAAGGCCTGGGATCAAATCTGTACTTTAAAAAAAAAAAATGACTGATTTATTTTTATCATATGTACATTAGTGGTGTGCATGCATGTATGTCTGTGTGAGGGTGTCAGATCTCCCAGAACTGGAGTTACAGACAGTGACGAGATGCCATGTGGGTGCTGGGAATTCAACCCAGGTCCTTTGGAAGAGCAGCCAGTGCTCTTAAGCACTGAGCCATCTCTCCAGCCTCCAAATCTATACTCTTTTTTTTTTCCCATCAGTAGTTGCCTTTTCTTTTCTTTTTTTTTTTAAGATTTATTTATTTATTATGTATACAGCATGTATGATAGCTGGTCAGAAGAGGGCACCAGATCTCATTACAGATGGCTGTGAGCCACCATGTGGTTGCTGGGAATTGAACTCAGGACCTCTGGAAGAACAGTCAGTGCTCTTAACCTCTGAGCCATCTTTCCAGCCCCAAATCTATACTCTTAACACTCAAGATCCAAGTTTCAATTTCTTCATGTTGGAAAAAGAAGTAATAAAGGTTTGTTATATAATAAATAAGGTATTTCTAGGGATTCTAATTATTTTCACATTTAAAAAGCTATCAGGGCTCCTGAAGTTAAGATACTGTTTGCTTCGGTCACAGAGAGTCAATGTGTTCGCTTTTCCTCGTTTTTTTTGTTTGTTTGGTTTTTCTTTTTCCTCTTCCTGTTTAAAAAGAAATCAGTATTGTTTTTATACATTATACAAGAACTCTGGTTCTGATATGAACAGCCATGTTCTGCTCTGCTTCCCTTTCTGGGCTGCTGGGGTACACTGTCTCTGTGGAACCTTCCAGCCCATCTCCGCTCTGACTTTCCTACTTACTCCCCCAATATTTCTTGTCTCCCATGTGCTTTGCATGTTCTGAACTTCTTTAAAACTTTGTCAGTGCCTGAGAGTCATCTTCTGAAAAGCTGGGCGGCTGGACGTGGACGGCTGAAGACAGAATGTG